TCCCCCACATCCTAAGAGCGGGTCGCCTTAGGCTGCTCCCCGTCTTTTATAGTAGGATTCCCAAGTTGTCTGATCGTAAGGGTTCATTCTAGTTGTGGTTTTAAAACAAATTTTCCCACTCTATAAAATGATCATTGTGTCATTTTTCTTCTTGGGCTCTATTTAGAGCCGAGGATGAAATATATGATCCTGGTTCTTCTTAAATCTCCGTTTTGGAAAGTCAGTCATAGCTTGGCAAACCAACATAAGAATTCTGCCAAGACTTCCAACATCTAAGTCACCTGTGTTGATAGAGACATTCAACCTCAGATTACCAATTCCGTCATAACCGAATGTTTGTATTCAGTGCCACTGTGGACAACTCAGGTTGACGATGACTCTTTTGATGACCCTTTTGGATGATGGCAAGATTATTTTGAAGTGGACAGGGCAGGGAAGACACACAGGATTAGCTCCAGATCCAGGATGCTGACTGTTCATGGCAAGCATCCATCCTCATTGGCTGAAGTCCCATTCTGGTTGGTTGGTGTCCATGCCATACTGGATATTAGCTGTCAAATATTTCGACTATCACCAACATTTCCCACATGAATGCCCAATATAATGTATTAGACTTACTTTAAGTTAATTGTTATATTTCTTTCTAATCTCATCTACACATACCACTAGAAAATCTAATGAGATACTCTTTCTAATTAGATCTTTAAGTGTTTCATTTTAAAGGTTATTTATATATCTTCTAACCATTTTTGCACGTCACCAAGCATGTTTTTAAAATGCCTATGTAAATACCTTTGCTGTTTTCAAAGACATGTACTCAACTTTTTATGAATTTAAATAAATTTTACATTTTCTTTTTACTAATATTGTTTATCCTTCTGGACAGTTCTATATTCCCTAGAATATTTTATTTTATTTTACATTATTTTATTTGAGACAGAGAGTCTTGCTGTGTCTCCCAGGTTGGAGTACTGTGGTGCATTCTTGGCTCACTGCAACCCCTGCCTCCTAGGCTCAAGCAATTCTTGTGCCTCAGTCTCCTGAGAAGCTGGATTGCAGGCACATGCACCACGCCTGGCTAATTTTTGTATTTTTTGTAGAGATGGGGTTTCGCCATGTTGCCCAAGCTGGTCTCAAACTCCTGGCCTCAAGTGATCTGCCCACCTCAGCCTCCCAAAATGTTGGGATTATAGGCATGAGCCACTGCACCCAGCCCCTAGAATCTTAATGTCCCTTTTTATATTCCTGCCAAAAAGAGGAAAGTTTCTGCTGGTTAATTGAGGTCATAGTCCCCCAGATCAAGATGTATTCTGAAGGTGGCCAAGGAAGGAAAAGAGAACAGGGAATAGTGATTGACCTAGTTATGACTGTTGTTCATACAAAGTGGCTTCTAGATATTTTATTGATTGATTGAGACGGAGTCTCACTTTGTCACCCAGGCTGGAGTGCAGTGGTGTTATCTCGGCTCACTGCAACCTCCGCCTCCTGGGTTCAAGCAATTCTCCTGCCTCAGCCTCCCAAGTAGCTGGGACTACAGGCGCACGCCACCATGCCCAGCTGATTTTTATATTTTTAGTAGAGAGGGGGTTTTGCCATGTTAGGCAGGCTGGTCTTGAACTCCTGACCTCAGATGATCCACCTGCCTCGGCCTCCCAAAATGCTGGGATTACAGGCCTGAGCCACTGTGCCCAGACAGTTCTACATATTTTAAATATTTTTCTGGAATTAATAACAATAATGACAACAGTACCTACCATTTGTTGTATGTGATTTGCCTTGGACACCATGTAATGCTTTATAAACAGTGGCATGTTTGAGTCGATGTGATGAATTTATCTCGATGTTGGTTTTGGTTGGTTATTGCATTGTGTAATCTGATTATGTGGGGAATTTGCCCAGATATCCGCTGCTCACTGAGCCAGTCCCTCCTGTATTTTATGACCTGTGAAGCCCTGTGCTGCTTCCTGCTGAGCCATACGTTGCTTTTTATTGGGCTCTGAATTGTGAAGGCAGAGTGAGAGAGGTATTTATAGAGGATCCGTGTTGTTCTCCTGCAAAACCTGTGTCACGGGGTTGCTCAGCCTCCCTGGAATGAGCATCAATCAGGTGTATTATCACACAATGACCTTGGGACTGTCCCTTCTGGTCTAAAGCACTGAGCACCTGAGTCATGAGGGTGTCCAGTGAGCAGGGAGGACCTCAAGGGCTGGAGCATCAGGGCAGGGGCCATGCAGAGCAGACGCACCTGGAGCCTGACCACAAACCTAGGTATGGATCCACAGGAACTAGGACATGAGGAGAGAGACCCTGGACAGCATCAGCATATCACAAGTTAGGTTTAGGGAAGGGAGAACAGATTAGCCTATCATAGTGGGAGCTCTGTGTGTGCGTCTTGGGAGGGGAATAAGGGGGAAGTGGAGATAAAATTGTGATTGTGAGGGAGGAGTCTGCAAACTCCAGGGGGCCCAGAAATAGCCCCTACAGGAGCCAAGAGGTCAATTCTGCAGTGCCCAGGTCATGTATTCAAAAAGGGCTCCATTTTGTTGCCACATATTCACACCTTATTTGCACTTCTCATTGGTCACTTTCATTATGAAATCCACTTCTCTATGTACAACTCACAGGGCAGGGATTCTACACTGCTGGATCATTCCAGGAACAAGATTAGGAAGCCGTGGGAGTCCCACTGGTTGTTCCTGCATTAGCATCTACGAAGTTTAAGAAAGAAGGTGCCCTCTCCATGGCGCTTGGGAGTTTCCGTGGAGCTTGGGGCTTGTTTAGAACTACATCCTAGAATAATGCCAGGCATTTACCAAGTGCTTGGTAAATACCCTTTACTACATGCAATGAGTTTTTATGATAAAGAAGCAGTTAGTTTGTATCCTGTGCATTAGGCTCTGTTTCATTTTCAACCTTCTCCTGGTGCCTCTACTATCCCTATTCTCATCTGCGTCACCCACATCATGGGGTCTCTTGGCTGCTAATCTTGGTTCTTGCCATTCAAGCCCCCACTTCTCTCCTCAGGTCCCTACCTCATCCACCCTCCATCCATTTATACCCTTCTTGTCTGTCACATCTCCTGGAAGTCAGGATAGGGACTGTGGGCTCCTGTGACCTCACCAATAGAACTTGAAGAATGGGTGGAGCTTGTCTCTCCTTCCCTCAGTTATTTGGAGAATCTCAGTGGGCATTTCCCCGTGGCACCTTGACCAAAGCAAAAATATATGAAATCATCATATCCTGAATTAGTTTGTATTTTTCATTCTACTCCCTTGCTAAACACAGTAGCATAGTTGCAAATTACAGTTGACCAGTGAACAAGGTGGGAGTTAGGGATGCTAACTGCCCACACACAGTAAAACAATAAAATAAAAAATCTGTGTAGAGGCCAGGCACAGTGGCTCATGCCTATAATCCCAGCACTGTGGGAGGCCGAGGCAGGCAGATCACCTGAGGTCAGGAGTTCGAGACCGGCCGGGCCAACATGATGAAACCCAGTCTCTACTAAAAATACAAAAATTAGCTGGGCATGGTGGCCCACACCTGTAATCCCAGCTATTTGAGAAGCTGAGGTAGGAGAATCACTTGAACCCAGGAGGCAGAGATTACAGTGAGTGAGCTGAGATCACGCCACTGCATTCTACGCTGGGAGACAGAGCAAGACTCCATCTAAAAAAAAAAAATTCGCGCAGAACTTTTACCTCCCCACAAACTTAACTACTTACAGCCTACTGCTGACCAGAATACTTACAGATGACATGAATAGTCGATTAACACATAGTTTGTATGTTATATATATTATATACTGTATTCACACAATAAAGTAAGCTGGATAAAAGCAAATGTTCTTAAGTAAACCATAAGGAAGAAAAAAAATCTGTTTCCTGTTTATTAAGTGGAAGTGGATCATCATAAAAGTCTTCATCCTCGTCAACTTCATGTTGAATAGGTGAGAAGGAGGAAGAGAAGGGCCTGGCCTTGCTCTCTCAGGAGTAGCAGGGGAAGAAGGATATCTGTGAATAAGTTGACCTGCACAGTTCAAAATTGTATTCTTCAAGGGTCCACTGCCGTGGTACTCTTATTGCTTCATTATTTCCTTCCAGCCTCTCGGTGCTGATTTATCATAGGCTCAAGTGAAGAGTTGGTGAATGTATGAAACTTACCTTCCAGGTTTTCCTCCATGTATCTCCTTTCCCCCTGCTCATCTCCCTAGATTGTATCCACTTGGAAAGATGGGAAACATGATTACTATTTCCCAGGGCTAAAGGTAGAAAAATGTGCTCAGGACAAGTTTTAGAAGAGGCAACATTAGCACTATTGATACACTAGACCTGCATTTATTAAGCAGCATCTCTAAGAAGCTGTGACATTAAAATTTAAGCCACCACACTATTTTTTCCTGAAACCCCACAAAATTGCACTCTTCATCAGGTGTATTCATTTCTTGTGGGTGCTGTAACAAGTTACCATAAATTTAGTGGCTCAAAACACCATAATTTTTTAAAACACCATAGATGTATCATTTTACTTTTATGGAGATCAGAAGTCCCAAGTGGATTTTGCACATCAATATCAATGTGTCAGCAGGATCACCCTCCCTCTGGAGGCTCCAGAGTGGGATCCATTTCCTCACCTTTTCTAGCTTCTGGGAGCTGCCCACATTCCTTGACTCATGGCCCCTTCTCATAGCACCTTCCAAACTCTTCTAACTCGACTTTTATCATCATAGATCTCCCCTGGAGCTGATTTCTCTGCCTCCCTCCTACACGTATAAAGACCCTTGTGATTGCCTCGAGTCCACCAGGATAAAGATCTCCCATCTCACCATCCTTAGCTCCACCCCATCTGCAAAGCCTCTTCTGCCATGTAGGGAAACATACTTACAGATTCCAGGATGAGGGTGTGTACATCTTGCAGGGGAGCCACACAGTTACACACTGAGACTTCTCTTGAAACATGAGTATCAAAGTCAACTTTCTAATCCTTTGTTTTCTTTTCAGATGCAGAGAGAACTTGTTTATGCAAGAGGAGATGGCCCTGGGGCCTCTCGCCCCGGATCTACTGCTCATCCACCCCATGCAATTCCAAATTCCCCACCGTCTACTCCGGTGCCCCATTCCATGCCCCCCTCCCCATCCAGAATTCCTTATGGGGGCACCCGCTCCATGGTTGTTCCTGGCAATGCCACCATCCCCAGGGACAGAATCTCCAGCCTGCCAGTCTCCAGACCCATCTCTCCAAGCCCAAGCGCCATTTTAGAAAGAAGAGATGTCAAGCCGGATGAAGACATGAGTGGGAAAAACATCGCAATGTACAGAAATGAGGGTTTCTATGCTGATCCTTACCTTTATCACGAGGGACGGATGAGCATAGCCTCATCCCATGGTGGACACCCACTGGATGTCCCTGACCACATCATTGCATATCACCGCACCGCCATCCGGTCAGCGAGTGCTTATTGTAACCCTTCAATGCAAGCAGAAATGCATATGGAACAATCACTGTACAGACAGAAATCAAGGAAATATCCAGATAGCCATTTGCCTACACTGGGCTCCAAAACGCCCCCTGCCTCTCCTCACAGAGTCAGTGACCTGAGGATGATAGACATGCACGCTCACTATAATGCCCACGGGCCGCCTCACACCATGCAGCCAGACCGGGCCTCACCGAGCCGCCAGGCCTTTAAAAAGGAGCCAGGCACCTTGGTGTATATAGAAAAGCCACGGAGCACTGCAGGATTATCCAGCCTTGTGGACCTTGGCCCTCCTCTAGTGGAGAAGCAAGTTTTTGCTTACAGCACGGCAACGATACCCAAAGACAGAGAGACCAGGTAAGGTGCAGTGAGGGTGACCGAGGGTGGTACCTGGGCCCATGTGTCACTATGGGCTGCTCTACAGGGGTCAAACTGACAGAATAAATGTCTGAGCACCCATCTCTGCAGCATGCCCTGTGGATGCTGTAGGGGTTACAGAGTGGTGTCAAAGCCACCGTTGTCTGCAAAGAGTTTCTAAACTGGCAGAGGTTACAGCCATGAAGCCATGTTCAAGAAGACAGGTGCACCAACAATAGTAATCAGTCCCTTGTGCCTCTGGAGCATGCATCTAACAGCATTATCGTTTGTATAAATCTGAATAATTTGGAAGAAAATTGTCATTAGCAGAAGCCCGATGAAAAGATCAAAAGGTCATAATAATTGATCTGCTACTGCTGAAAATAAGGAGTGGTTTTCAGTTTTAACTGTTGGAAATAGCAGTTTGTGTTTTTCCTTGTGGAATACAATTTTGTGTTCTCATCTGGTTGTGGGAAGTGGAAAGAATGTGTCTATTTTTTAAGAGGATAAAAATCTGAATTTGCATGAAAATGGAATGGCTTAGATTTAATACTTATCTAGGAGTGGTGCTGAAATCAGCAAAATTTTTCTAGTGAAAGACTCTCTGGGGATTTGAATTTCTTTTTAAATAGATATATTTTATAATTTACCAGTTCAGATGCTTCCTACTCTATCTTGAAAACCTTCCAAAGTTCATATAGTAATAGAAAAGCTAATTTTGATAAAGGAAGTTTCTCTAGCCTGAATTGGTTGAAAGAAGTCAACAAAATAATCATAAAAATCTAGCCAAAGAAATTGAGTCCAAAAGATGTGTAAGCATGCTGCTACCTATTGTTATATATGAATTAAGGGGTATGAAAAATAAGATGTCCAGGCCGGGTGCGGTGGGTCATGCCTGTAATCCCTGCATTTTGGGAGGCCGAGGCGGGTGGATCACCTGAAGTCAGGGGTTCTAGACCAGCCTGGCCAACATGGTGAAACCCCGTCTCTACTAAAAATACAAAAATTAACCAGGCATGGTGGCAGGCACTTGTAATCCCAGCTACTCGGGAGGCTGAGGCAGGAGAATCACTTGAACCTGGGAGGCGGAGGTTGCAGTGAGCTGAGATCACGCCATTGCATTCCAGCCTGGGCAACAAGAGTGAGACTTCGTGTCAAAAAGAAAAAAGACAAATAAGATGTCCAGATACTCAGTTATTCAATACCTTATTAGAACCACAGCTTCTCACTAAACAATGTCAATATCACTTACTGTTACATACCATCTAAAAAGAAGGCCAAAACTGTGAATGGAATGTGACCTGTCTACCTTACTATTTTCACACACAAGTCAGAAAGTCCTGAAGTCCTCTTTAGCACAGTTTTATTATGAAAGGGCAATCCCTTCTTATTTATTCAGTTACTGGGAATATCATAGCAGAAAGATTTCAGGAGATGGAAAGAGAATGAACATGAAAGTTTTGGGATCATTAATGAAACAAAAAGTTCTACCTCTCTCATGTAGTTAGAATAACAACAACAGTAACTGGCTTGATGATGCAGGACTAAGAAAATATAAGAATTAGAAAATAGTATTCATTCTCTCCTTTTCGAAGTCTTCATGAAGTGAAATTCTAAGCATCAAAGAAAGGGACTCTTCCCATCACTACAGACAGCTAAAGGGTATAGGATAAATATTCGTAGTGGTTCATTGGAGCAAACCATTGTGACATCTGGAGAGGAATCTACCAAGATGTGCCATAAGTCTTGGAAGCCTGTGCTGCATACTTCACAGAAAGGATAACACACTTGTCCCCTTTGGTGGGCTGTGAGGTGCTGGTTGGAAAATGGTATGTCACTGAGGGGATGGAACTGACAGGAGCAAGAATTTAGTCCAGGAAACTGTAAAAACAATCTGTCTCCTGCATATAATGTTGAGAGCCAGAATCCATCCTCCCCCTCATCCCCCTGCCTCCCACACTGACCTGTTGTAGATGGAAGAGCATCAGGAGTTGATTTTGCCATGATCATAGTGAACTGTTTCCACCCTGGTTCTTGGATGGTAAAAACCTGAATTTGCATGAAGGTAGATTAGTTTAGATGTAATATTCTTTTGGGAGTAGTGCTGAAATTATCAAAATTTTTGGCCAACCAAAGATGGTGTGCGCCTTCTTTCTAGAACCTAGCTCAAGGTCACCCATGTAATTACCACACATACACAACTTAATGTACATCCTTGAGCCTCACTTTTCAAGAGATTTAGTTACGGAGAGAAAAAAACAAACCCTCTGCTGACCTGTGGAGTCATCTCTGTATGGGATCAAAATCTTGAAGGATTTTAGCTTTTGGTGCTATGGGTATTCTTTTAGGGCCTCCACTCCCTTTTTTTAAAAAAGATCTGCCAACCTCAGAGACTTCCATTTTGTAAAATTTCAGAAAATTCTATGGACTTGAGTTTTACATGTTAGAGAACCTTTTTAGAAAATCTAAATTATTCTCTTACCAGTTTAACAAATATAAGAAAAACTGACTAAACAGATGAATATTCGCCTAAAATACACTGTCATTATCACCACTGTGTTCTGATGTATGATTGTAGTTATGAATGTAATGTTACATGTTCACATTTTTCATTCCCCATAATGTGAAATAGCAGAGGAAGAATTTTATCTCATACATCTTGCCAAGGTGACTCTCCACCTGTAATCAGCTTATCTCCACAGGGTGGAATTGGAGTGCTTGGTTATATGTGTGCTGGTTAGATTCTCTTTTCCTAGAGACCTGCACATAGACACACAGACACGCAGAGACACACACATACCACATGGACACACAAAGACACAGACACATGACACACACGAAACAGACACACGTACACATACCCCCAGACAGACACATACACACACTCTCTCTCTCTCTCTCTCTCTCTCTCTCTGTCTACATTTAGAGTCACTATTGCTGAAAGACCTAAACACTCCCTGCTAACTCCACTCAGACACATGTCAAAGGTGAAGAATAATTCTCTGGTCAAAAGAACTTGAGTCTGGAACTTTTGTCCTCAGCACTCCTATGTGCTTCCCCCATTGTTTCTTACATGGACAAAGTGACAAGGGTGGAGCTCATGCCATACTTCCTCCTCCAAGGACAGCTCAGAATCTGGCCCTGAACTCTTTTAGATATCTTGGTAACTAGGCTCACATGTAGCATTCCTGGGGGATGTGTAGGAAGGAGGTGAATGGCACCTATCATTTGTTGAGAGCCTTTTATGAGCCAAGCACTATGCGAAGTGGTTTCTGTACATTATATGATGTAATCATCATGACAACCCAGTGAGGTATGTACTATCGTCATCTGCATTTCACAGATGCAGAAACTGAGGCTCAGAGAAGTTAAGTAACTTGCCCGAGGCCGCAAAGCCAGTAAGTGGCATAAAATGTCCAGGACTATTAAAGAATTCTACATATTCCATACTGTTTACCACTGTGCACTATTCTGCCTTGCAAATGTGAACTGTAAGGCCCACCTTCACACAACAGAGAAGTTAATTCAGGAGTGAATTCTAAACATTTTAACCAGAATTCTTCAAAAATTGTTTCAGGACTACATGCTAAGTAACTGCTCCTAAAGGATATTTACAATCATAAACACAGAATTTGCATAATTATGCTGCTAAATATATACATGCCATTTTAAATATAACTGCCCTAGCTAGTATATTAGCACAATTATGCAGAAATAGGGGAAGAAAGAGGACAACGTTCTTGGTATACTTCATTTATTCAATGCATCTGAGTACTATGTCAAAGAAAAATGTTAAAAACAGGAACATCAGAAACAATTACTGAGGCACAAAATTATAGTCCATTGGCCTCATCTATGCCATGAGGTTATTTAGAAATACTTAATCTGTGTAAGTATTGTTAAAGAGTTTTCAACCCCTTAAAGCTTAACTTCATGAGCACAGGGTCCTATAAAGAACCAATCCAATTTCTGTTGCAATTTCATAATATTAAAAAGCAAATAAATCTGAGAGTGTTTTTCATATGAGACTCTCAAGTAACATTTTACATCAAAGATGTGAAGCTGCAAAAACACAGGAGGGAGGCTGAGAAATCGGTTGCTGTGCTTTCTGTTGGCACCGCTGGGTTCCTATGCTGTTCTGAAGAACACTTCAATATAATAGTCCAAATAACTGCGGGACGTTAGAAATCAGAGGGAAAAACTCTTCTTTCCACATTCATACTTTGAAGACATCCAGTGGTAGCTTTTTGAAGGAACATGATTTGGTAACAGCTCTGTTGACTTGAAAATAGCTCGCTCAAGACTAAGTAATTGAGTCTTGAGTCTTATATTTAGTCACATACCTTGTGCTAATGAATTTGGCATCTCTTTCTTTCTAAAGATGCTTCAGTGAGCACCTAGTAATAATAAATTGCATCTAGAATATCTGGAGAACACGGTGTCTATGGAATAACATTCACATGATGGTAGGGTTCTCCTCCCAGGAATACCAGGGACTTTGGGGTATAGTGACAGATCATAGCTGCCTTTGACTTTCAGAACAGCCATTCTAGTGTCTGAGCTTCTATAAAAGAAAGCAATCTCGAGTGATGAAGTGATTGTACCCAAGTGACTTCCATTCAGCTAGGACTCCAAGTACAGAATAGTCCTAGTGACTAGGAGAGACTGCCCAAGGAGACTATGTGTGACAAATGGCTTAGTGCCCGAGGCTCTGTCTTCTCTAGGTTGTAAAATTACTTCATTAAACAACATCATTATTTCTATTCATGGCACATAAAACAGCCCTTAAGAATTGTAAAATTCTAGGACATTTATGTTTTGCTATTTTCTATTTGTAGTTTGGATCATATACTGTAATGTAAAATACCTTTAGTGAAATAACACTCAAAATCCAAGAGTGCTCATTGCAAAGTGACTACCTTGCCTTTGAAATGTATAACAGATTCCTCCAAATTGATTTTTCAGGACACAGTAAACTTGAACTGAGATTGTATTTTTAC